AGACAAATTCCGTTTCTTTCCATTTCGCGCACACGACAGAATTCGGCTAAATCGGATTTGTCTTGCAGTTGGTAATCTATATGGTGCGTGTATAGCGGAGCGCATTATCGGCTGTTTGTTTTCCGGTTAGGGCGAATATGACGCCCCGTATTTCGGACTTCGGATTTAATGTCCAGAGGCCGGCGCGTATACGTAACAACCTCCTAGACGCACTCCCAGACGGCAGCGCAGTAAGCGCAAGCAGATAGCAGTAGCAGTAGTCCACACGTAGGGGCAGCAATTAGCAGTAGCAGCAGTAGCCAGCAGTAGCGGCCAGCAATAGCAGTAGCAGACAGCGCCACAGTAGCGGCAGACATAGCAGTGCAATATCAGCACGGCAGTAGCGGCCAGCATAGCAGTAGCAGCAGTGCGCACAGAGGCGGCAGCAATAGCAGCGCAGCCAGCAAGTAGCACAGTAGCGGCAGCTATAGCAAGTAGCAAGCAGTAGGCCACAAGTAGCGCAGCATAGCAGTAGCAATAGCAGCAGCGCAGTAGCGGGCAGCATAGCAGCCAGCAGCCACAGTAGCGGCAGCAAGAGCGTACGCCAGCAGTAGTAAGCCACAGTAGCGCCCAGCAATAGCAGTAGGGCAGCAGCGGCGTGCGGAGCCAATAGCAAGTAGCAGCAGCGGCCAGTAGCGCAGCAAATGCAGTAGCAGCAGTCGGCAGCGGCCAAGCGGCAGCGGCCAGCAATATGTCGGTCTATCGGCATGACGCCGGCTAGCCATCCAGCAAACGCAAGTCCTGGACATCCACTCACACAGTGATCTCGCGACTCGGCGTACACGCATGATTGCGCAACGGGACAATCTCTCTCTCTCTCTCTCTCTTCTCTCTCACCACCCACATCACACGCGCTCACACACACACACACACACACTACCACACACACACACACCACACACCACCACACACACCACACACACAGCACAGCGTCTGCTCTCTCTCATCTCTCTTCTCTCTCCTCTTCTCTCCTACTCCGCTCACACACACACACAGACCGCACCACGCACCACGCACGACGGCACACGCACACGGCACCGACGCACACTGCACACGCACACGCCACACGCACACGCACACTCAACATACAGCACACAACACAACACACACACACACACACACACACACAAACACACACACACACACACACACACAACACACACTCAACACACACACACACCAGGCAAATCAGCAGATCGTTCCCGTGTCGCAAGATTACTGGGTTAGTTACTTGCACATATTCTCGGTCTATCGGACCTTCGGTCTATCGGGATGACCCCGCGTAATATAGCGGCAGCAGATAGGCAGTAGCAATTAGCATCAGCAGCGGCGTAGGGGCGGCAGCCAGCCAGCGGCAGCAGCCAGTAGCGCAGTAGCGCGGCAGCGGCAACAAGGAGTAGCGCAGCCAATTAGTAGCCAGCGGCGTAGCAGCGCGCAGTAGCGGCGCAGCGGCGCCGCGGCAGCAGCAGTAGAGCAGGGGAGCAGCGGCAGTAGCAGCGGCAAGTAGGCAGCGGCAGTAGCAGCGGCAGTAGCAGCAGTAGCGAGTCACAGGCAGTCGCAGCGGGCAGCAGCAGTAGCCAGCTAGCACGCAGTGCAGCGGCCAGCGGCCAGCAATAGTAGCTAGCGGCAGCAGCGCAGTAGTCAGCACAGGCGGCAGTAGCGCGGCAGCGGTCGCACAGACAGCACCGGATTACGCAAAGCCGTAACAGAAACAGTCGCGCTGGTAGATACCGCGCTCTAACTAACGCAAGACGCATTCTCACGGCACGCACGCACGCACGCATATACACACACGAATCAATGCACACCACACACACACATACACACACACCACACACACACACACACAGCACCACACACACAACACACAACACACACACACACACACACACACAGCACAACACACACACCACACGCGCGCTAACCAATACAACATGTACGAATACATGCACGGCACGCACGCACGCACTGCACGCACGCAACTAATCACACACGGAATACCAGGCAGCACACACATGCTATACACACATCACGAATGCAGGCACACACCACGCATATACACATCACGAATAACCATGCACACGCACACGGACACGCACATATACATCACATGTACGAAATACATGCACACAGCACACACACACACACGCACGCACATATACATCACATGCTACGAATACATGCACGCACGCACGCAAGCCGCCGCATATACACACACGAATACTATGCACACACACCACACGTAAACACACACCTACACACACACAGACACACACACACACGACAACACACGCACACAACACGCACGCTACTGCTGCACACTGACACATAAATATATAGTTTAAAATATAAATAAAATATAATATATAATATATAGACCCCGCTTATTGGGGGGGGCCCGGTCCCAGGTGCTATTAAATTCTAGTGCTTTAAATCGAGTGTAATAAATTACTCATATTATTGTTTGATGCTGCGTTGAAGTACTTGTTGTTGAAATTAAGTTTTGTTATGGGCTAATCTATTTGACTGGATTCATACCTGTTTCCTTGTCGGCGTAATCATCATAAGTATGCTATTCATTATGTACCCCGATCTTTAATTAAATTTTTACTTAAATTGTGAGATTAATGTATCTTTAATCCTATATATTTAATTGTAGTCTATATAACAGCCATCATCATAGAGTAATCAGTATCAATAATCTTAAGGAGTGGCTGAACTCGAAGAACTATCACACGTCAACTCGCCTATCTATCGCAATTCGTGAAACAAATATAACCAGTCCTTTAGCTTACTGTATGTATATTTGTAATGCAGTGAATAAACATTTGAATTGCAAAAAATTGAAAAGTGTACGCAGCAGCATTAGGCCCAAGCTGCTAGGCGGTTGGGCTCCCGGCAGCGCACGCGTTGGTGTGGAGACATGGTTGCGCAGAATGAGCATTTGGACGGCATTTACAGGAAATTGCCGGCAATAAAGTGTGAAAGAGAGTAGAGAAACAGTGCCAAAACTTTGGTAGTAAATAGATTTCGTATTTATTTAGCATTATATTTTATTGAAACGCCTCCCAAGTGCCCTGGTCATTGTTTTTTATAGCCTATAGAATATGTATTTTATGATTTTCTAATAGATACACCTTTAAAATATTTTACGTCAGATATGACCACCAGGCATGAAATGTTCACAGAATATTTAAGGAATATATTACGAATTCACCAACATAAAGTTTTTTATCAGGATCCCAACTGAGGAGCGAACAACAGGACGAACAATAGCAGCGCGACATTAGTAGCGCCGACCTCTCGCCCTATTTGTGATTTAGTGTGTAAACTGATAAACACCGATTTTCGTATTATCATAAATAATTTGTAATTTATAATAAAAATTAATAATAGATAGAGATTTTCCTTAATTCTATGTATAATGTAATTAATTTATTCGAAATATATATAAATATATAACTATATATATATATGTGTCAGTGTGTTAAATATAGTGTTAAATCAGTGTAATAAATTACTTATTATTTTTGATGCTCTTGAGTTATTGTTCGTTGAAATTAAGTTTTGTTATGCTAATCTATTTGACTGATCATACCTGTTCTCCTTTGCGTAATCATTAAGTATCTTTCATTATGTATCTTTAATTAATTTACTTTAATTTAATTAATGTATCTTTAATTATATATTTAATTGTATCTATATAACAGCCATCATATAAGTAATAGTATCATATTTAAGGAGTGGCTGACTCGAAGACTTCACAGTCAATTCGCCCTACTACGCAATTCTGAAACTAATATAACCAGTTATATTATGTATGTATATTGTAATGCGTGAATAAACATTTTTGAATTGAAAAAATTGAAAAGTGTCCAGCAGCTAGGCCAAGCTGCTAGCGTGCGGCAGCCAGCGTGTGTTGCAGACATGGTTGCAGATGAGCATTTGGACGGCATTTACAGGAAATTGCCGGCAATAATAGGTGAAAGAGAGTAGAGAAACAGTGCAAAACTTTGGTAGTAAATAGATTTCGTATTTATTTAGCATTATATTTTATTGAAACGCTCCCAAGTGCCTGGTCTTGTTTTTTTTATAGCTATAGAATATTGTATTTTTAGATTTCTATAGATAGACCTTTAAATATTTTACGTCAGATATGACCCAGGCAGAAATTTCAAGAATATTTAAAGGAATATATACGAATTCACCAACATAAAGTTTTTATCAGGATCCCAACTGAGGACGAACAACAGGACGAACAATAGCAGCGCCAATTAGTAGCGCCACCTCTCGCCCTATTTTTGATTTAGTGTGTAAACTACACGATTTTGGTATTATCATAATATTTGTAATTTTATAATAAAATTAATATAGAATAGAGATTTTCTATTCTATGTATATGTAATTAATTATTCGCAGATAAATTTGCCAATATTTGACATTCAGTTTAATTTTGATATTCAGTATGTGTGAAAACATAACTTCCGCTGTAAAAAAATCCGCTTTTTGTTTTAGATGTGATACTAAGTACGGGCAAACAAACGTCTCTCGCAAATAGAGAGAGACAGTAGACCTTTCGGCAGTTTATCATTTCTCCGTTCGATCATTAGTTTAACCATAGATATAGAATGAAGATTCATTCTATATCTATGGTTTAACAACGTTTAAAAAGAAGCTGTATAGTCATATAGCAATGATAAAACGTCGCGGACGGGGGTAATTAATTGTTTTTCTAACTTACATGCTCACCATCCTCTTACTTATGCAGGGCGTCTTAACCGCGACGCATATATAACCAGCACGCATATTTTCTTTTTTTTCTATTTCAAATTAAGTCCCGAAGCATAAATCTACAACTGCATATAATACATTCCCTTTGTATATTGCTCGCCGCAATTTTTTAAATTTATGTTCTGTGCATTTACACATAATCAAATACATCCGTCAACTCTTTCGGTAACCTATATAGGAACCATCAGACCATTCACGCATTTTAAAGACGGCAGTTCGATTGTGGACAGCTCCGGTGGAGTTGCGCAATGGGCATACAAAGTAGTAAATGGAGCCTCGTCAAGCCAGTCAATGTCACATTGGCAATCCAATTTGCAACCTGTAATGCAAATTATAGTGTAAGTGTGAGCTTTACAAGCTCGCAGAATGCATATAGCATGCAGCTTTACAGGTGGTTCCACCCACGTAGTCTTTCGCTGCGGACGATTGTTGCGCACGTGACGATACGTGCACGCGTATAAAGGTACAATTAATACACGAAGTGTGACAAAACAAACCACATTTAATAAATAAACAGAATGTTAATAACAAAGAACGACCACACTTGCCTCCTAGGTCAACGCTTACTCCATCTGTGGATGTGAGTTCAGTCAGATTAAACACGTCCTTGTCGATAGATGTCAAGCGCTCGTTGCCCGCCAAAATGATAGAGTTGATCATTGGCATCCCATGAAAACCGCCAAGTTCGATGAAGCTTATTGCATTATCATCAATACAAATTTCCTGATGTGAAAATGTAATAAAAAATTAACAATGATTTGATCGACAGAATAGTGCAATATAATACACATCCAAACAATATGGAATATATAAGAGTAATGACCAAGTCGATGTGGTGACGTTACTAGACTATCTTCGACACACAACCACGGCAGTAATTAACTCGAATAATAACAAGAGCGTATAAAGAATGTCTTCTTTATAAAAAAGGCCTTCTTTCTTAAAGAAAGCCTTCTTTATACGCTCTTGATAATAAGCATAATTCTGTCTGAACGTACGGTCACGCTACTCAGTCCTCTGAATGTGCCAGCTGCGATGGTGACGAGGTTGTTGTTAGATATATAAACTGTCTGTGCTGCCGTTGCGCCCTCAAAGGCTCCAGCAGCAACGCTAGAAATCCGGTTGTTATGAAGGTATATGGCCTCAAGCTTCTTGAGGCCGGCAAAGGTTCCTTCTGAGACCGTGTACAGATGGTTGGAGTAGAGGCTTAGGTATGTGATTTCATCTAAATCTTTGAATGTTCCCGGTGCAATATACTCGATGGCATTATGCGACAAAGTGAGGACCTGTGGAAGCGTAAGTAAATAAATGAATAAATAAATAAATAAAAACAATCAATAATTAAAAATTAAATAAAAAAACAAATAAATGTATACATACGCACGTGAGTATGCATCCACTCACTCACGCACGCTTGCACGCACGCACGCACGCACACACGCCCGCACAGACGCACGCGCGCACGAATTCAAACGCACACACACACACACACACACACACACACACACACGCAACACGCACACGCACGCACGCACGCACGCACACGCACGCACATGTATATTGTTACGTTTAGTCTGGTCGTTTAGGCACTGAACTAGGCAGAACAAATCTCCGCTGGCTCAAACGTCAACCAGTAAGAACGGCTGCCATTGCAAGAACTACTTTATTATATCGAAGTCACACGCACCACACATACTGGATACCACTGCGCGCGGTAACCCTGCGTATATGGGATATTGATATCCACTGTCTCTACCGGCCAACCGGGTATATCCACAGCAGGACTTTAGGGATAGGATTTACCTCGAGTTTCTTCAGACCCAGCAGCGCCTGAGGGGAGATGTGGAAAATCCGGTTGTTCCGAAGTCCTAACTCCTCAAGATTCTTGAGGCCGGCATAGGTTCCTGCTGAGACCGTGTACAGATGGTTGGAGTAGAGTTCTATTTCTCTGATTTCATCTAGATCTTTGAATGTTCCCGGTGCAATATACTCGATGGCATTATACGACAAATCGAGGACCTGTGGAAGCGTAAGTAAATAAATGAATAAATAAATAAATAAAAACAATCAATAATTAAAAATTAAACAAAAAACAAATAAATATATACATACGCACGTGCGTATGCATCCACTCACTCACGCACGCTTGCACGCACGCACGCACGCACGCACGCACGCACTACGCACACACGCACAGACGCACGCGCGCACGAACTCAAACGCACACATAGAGGGCCTACACACACAAACACACACACACACACAGACACACACACACACACACACACACACACACACACACACAACACGCACACACACAACACGCACACCCACGCACATGTATATATATGGGATATAGATATCCACTGTCTCTACCGGGTATATCCACAGCAGGACTTTAGGAATAGGGTTTACCTGGAGTTTTTTTAGACCCCGCAGCGCCTGAGGGGAGATGTAGCCAATCCGGTTGTAATGAAGTCCTATGGCCTCTAGATTCTTGAGGCCGGCATAGGTTCCTGCTTGGACCGTGTACAGATGGTTGGAGTAGAGGTTTATTACTCTGATTTCATCTAGATCTTTGAAGGTTCCCGGTGCAATATACTCGATGGCATTATCCGACAATTCGAGGTGCTGTGGAAGCGTAAATAAATAAATGAATAAATAAATAAATAAAAACAATCAATAATTAAAAATTAAAGAAAAAACAAATATATGTATACATATGCACGTGCGTATGCATCCACTCACTCACGCACGCTTGCACGCACGCACGCACGTAGGCACGTACGCCCGCACGCACAGACGCACGCGCGCACGAACTCAAATGCACACATACACACACACACACACACACATCAACGAAACCGCTGCGGATCTATTCGCCAAAGTAGTATTTAGCCGAAATCTGTCGTCCGTTCAAACGAGACAGCGCTTCTGTCCGCGTATTGTTCCCCGCTGTTTGACCATATTTCGATTGCAGCATTGTTCAACAATGACCTATTATCCTGCCCCGTTGGCAGGGTTGCCACTCCTGGTGAAATTTCACCAGATCTAGTGAAATGGTCCCATTGCTGGTGACCTGGTGAAGGAAATGTAAAATCACTGAAATTTAGTGAAATCTGGAATTCATATAAAGGCAAAAAAAAGATAAACGTCATCGACGCGTCACGCATCACAATGTGTTCCAAATAATCGCAAAATGTATAGGGCAGGAACGGCAGAGTGTACGTGCATTCTGTTTTAGCGAATGAGAAGTGAGCACGGTGATGTCATTCTTTGGGTCTTCTTTCTTTCTTGTCATGTTTGTATATGATTACGGTCTTCAGGCTCATGCATCTGGACTGAGGGTAATTTGCATGTAGTTTATTTTTTATTTATTTATTTTTTATTTATTTTTTACATTTTTTTTTATTATTTATTTATTTATTTAGTTTGTTATCATTTAGCAGTCGATATACAATAAAAAGATGGTGCTTGGTGAAATCTACAGCAATTTGGTGAAATTTAGGCCACCCATTGGGTGAAATCTACAGCAATTTGGTGAAATTTAGGCCACCTATTTGTGAAATGTGAAATAACCGAGTGGCTATATCTAGTATACTTATTATCACCACAGAAATAATATAAATAGAAATAAGAGAAATAAGAGAAATAATACACTAGTTAGGCTAATATACTAGATAGATGTCTATATGAATTTCTTTGATTATCACGAATCCGTGGACGCTCAAATATATTTCGGTATATACTAGTATAGATGAGAGGGGCTATGTCCCCCAGGGTACTGCCGGAACGTACCCTGGGTACGGTCCGGTACCGGACCGTACCCTGGTACTATCTATATGCCGGACCGTACCTCGCCTACTCCATTAACGAGTCTAGGGAGTCGCCTACGCCTACTCCCTAACCCTAACCCTAACCCTAACTCTAACCCTAACCCTAACCCTAACCCTAACACTAACCCTAACTCTAACCCTAACCCTAACCCTAACCCTAACACTAACCCTAACTATATATAGTATGGTATATATGGTATATAGTATGAATTATAAGCGTTCTTCACTATATACTAGTATAGGCCTATATATTCCAACTTCACTATTGACTATGAGAAATGTTCTTCTTACTATATGCTATATTATTATTATATATATATTTCGGTATATACGTCAGTATGAATTATAAGCGTTCTTCAGTATATACTAGTATAGGCCTATATATTCCAACTTCACTATTAACTATGAGAAATGTTCTTCTTACTATAATACAATAATAAAATTTAGTGCATCACATGATAAATCGTTGAAATTCCATTGGCTAACGTCGCAGGCACTATTGCTTGCGCGACGCATTGTTATTATAACGCATTGTGTTCACGTCACGAATCTCCTGCGTCTGGGCGCCACGCAAGAGTTTCGAATTAATGGCG